ATCACAATTAAAAGACCCAACAGCTTAAACTACTTCAGTCTGTGTGTACTGAATTTATATAATACACGAGTTTCACTATTTGAGTTGAATTACTGAAATAAATGGACTTTTCCACAATATTCTCATTTATAGAGATGCACCTGTATATGCTGGTCCAAGTCACAGCTCATCCCAATATTCTGACCCTCTCATGTATGGAGCTGGGGAGGACAGAAAAATAGAGACCTCTGAATATAATGCAGTCCAGTACAGCATCACCTTTAACTATGACTTCAACATTAAACATATAATTGAATTTATACAGTTATGACAATTTCACCAAAAACTGAAACATTTTGAGCTTCATAGACACAGACATTAAGGTAGAAGTGTTGGATGTACCTAATAAAGTAGACAGTGAGTGTATGTGCTGTAGTGAGGAAGAAGTGTGTCAGTTCATGGTCCTGTTGCTGAACTTCAGATTAAAATCCATTCCAATGTTAATAGAGAGTTATTGGATGAGTATTTGTGTAAACAGAGGTTGTGCTTAAGTGAGTGTGGTTTTGAGAAGGCTTCAGAGACCAGTGCTGCTCTTGGGCTTGGTGGACCTCCAAAACCTTCTAAGGAATGAACCTGATGGATATCCTGGGGATCTGAGTGGCTTTAAAGTTGAAATGGTTGGGAAGTCCAGCAGCCCATGTTTTTATGAGATGATCTTTAATTCCTTTGCTTGAGGTGGTGGTGGCAGCTTCTATCTGGAATAAATGAACTGAATAGAGATCTCGTAAAATACCAAAGAGGGCCAGGATCCTTCTGAAGTGTGCGAGGAACTATGCTAGTGTGGAAACCTGTCCTGATTTGGTTATAAAAACAGAATCTAGCCGTATGCTGTGCAGAGTTGGAGATGGCAGACCAAGCATTTGTAGGGACTGAGAGGTGAGTCCAACTTATAGAAGAGGATGGATAGAAGGTTGCCTGATTGATTTGTCTTACTTCTTTTAAGCACAAATTGTATGCTTCAGTTGGAGATGATTCAGAGGTCTGAAATGCAGGTGTGGGGTTAAGGGCTGAACCTGATGGTAGGAGCTGGGAAAAGAAGGCAAGGAGAAACAATCGTTTCAAGAGCGGAGGACAAGGTGATGTTACAGTTTCGCATCGCTCTGCCTCATGGATTTGTGTTTCTGTTTACCTCGTCTCTCCTCCCTGCTCTGTCACAACAATCAGTCATCATTTCACTCACCTGCTGCTCGTTATTTCCCGGTCCTGTTCCCCGCTGTTCTGCCACCACAATCAGTCACCATGCCATTCACCTGTTGCTCATTACCTACCGGTCCTGTCACGTACATATACACCATTTTTTCTGCTGATTCGCTGCTGGTTCCTACTCATACCATTGTGTGTTTGTGTCCTGAGCCTTTTTGTTGTTTCGACTCCGTGTTCCATGTTATTATACTGGATCCTGTTTCTGCAACTCAACAGCCCCGCTTACTCTGCACTCGGTCAGTCTGCAACCTTCATTGTTTTATGTTTAAGTGTGTAAGTCCTTAGCTCCACATCTCTCCCTTCGTCTGTCTGCTTGTTACCTCTGCCCCGTGTTCACTAGTTTGCCTACTCGATGGCTATTGCTACTTTGCCCAACCTTACTGTCACCGCTATCCTACTACCGGCTCTCCGGCTCGTCTTCTGGTTCCTGTGTCCCTCCTGCTGGCGGCTCTCCTGCTCGTCTTCTGGTTCCTGTGTCTCTCCTGCTGCCAGCCCTGCTGGTTCTTTGTCTCTCCTGGTCCCCTGGTCTTTCCTGGTCTCCACCTGGTTCCTCGTCCCTCTTGGCTCTTCGTCCTCCTGGTTTCTCTTCTTACCTGTCCCCTGTCTCTCCTGGTCTCTTCTCTCCTGGTCTCCGCGTCTCTCCTGGTCTCCCCCTGGTCTCCCCCTGGTCTCCTCATCTCTTCTGGTCTCCACGTCTCTTCTGGTCTCCTCTTGGCTCTTCGTCCTCTTGGCTCTTTGTCCTCCTGGTTCCTCGTCCTCAAGGTTTCTTTTTATGCCTGTCTTTGGTTGCTCCCTGCCTGCTTGGAGCCTGCTCGTCTTCCTGCCATCCAGCATAACCTGTGTTTCTTCAATAAACTCCTTTCTTGAGTTCCCCCTCCTCTAGTCTGGGTCTGCTATTGGGATCCACACCATACACACGCCGCCTGCCATAACATGTGAGTAGTATATCTTATACAGATCATATTAACACACAGTAAAAGCAGGTTCGATGTGAGTGGTAGGGGTCTGGGAACTTAGACTGGAGAGATACATCGCAGGCCTTTGTTGAGAAAAGATAAATGTTCTTGGGGGTGTAAGATTTGAGTCTTATAGACTCTAGTTACTTTATCAGTTTTAGTTACTTCTCATGCCTTTAGTTCCCTTTAGTTACCTTTCATAATTTTATCTTATCTGACTACAGCTGTATTGATTATTGTGCATTACTGAGCCCTGGTTATTTTCTAATACATTCATTCTCCTTGCTTATATGTCTTACAATTTGAATGAGATAGAATCTGCTTACTTTCTGTAACCTTTGAATGTCTGCATCTCCCAGGCAACCAGACGACCTATTTACATCTCAACAAAGCCCCACTAGTCCACACCTGGACACACTAAGCATATCCCAAGTTCTGCCCCACCAGGGGGTATCTTGCACACACAGAGGGTCGTATCACCTGAAGACGACCACTTGGCCAGCTTATTGTCTCAAACACACACA